CCACCCCACTACAGAAACAAAAATCCAAAAAATAAATTAAAAATCCACGCATTCAAATAATTCAAAAACATCAAAATCAAAGTCAGGCAGTACCAAATTTGGGGCTTCTTTTTTCTTTTTTTTTTTTACCTAATTGCGGACTCTTCCTTGGATTGGAGACTGGTTAGGTCAAGAAAACACTTGCTCGCATCAAGTGGGTCCTCGCCTTGACCTAAAAACGTGAACTCCTTGACATGATTAGCCTTGAGAAGCCTAATGTTCCTCCTCGGACCAGCCCCGGATTGCCCTCCCTCTTGTATTCTCCCACCACAGCTAGAGAGTTAAGGAATTTTGTGCAACAAATTAAGAACGCGAAAGAATTAGTGAATTACACCCAAAAAAGAAAAAAAAAAAAAAGTTGCAATCTTTACGCAACGAAAGACCAACTTCGAGTAATCAAAAATAAGATTGGAATGTATGAAAGGATATGAAGGATGAGGAGATTGGAGGGGCGGTCAAAGGCGATGACTTGGGCTTGAAATTCTTCTCCGAGTGTGGTTTTGATGGAGAGTATGCAGCCCACAGCAAACTCTTCGTCTCCTGACTGAGAATCCATTGCCGTCTGCAAAACGATGTTTCTCTCGTTTTTTGATCTGCTGTCTTCAAAGTTTCAAGTTTTCAACACAACATTGTTGTGTGACTAACGTTTTTTATGGATTCATTCGATGCTGCCCGCACATGGTGCTGCTAGTTCCTCTTTTGTTAAATAGGTGATGGAAAAAAAGTTGAGATGGATTATACAAGGCCCAACATGTTTCTTAAAAAAAAATAACTAGTCCGTGTATGCACGGGAAAACAATATTATGATTGTAATATAAATTAAATATACAAATAACATTAATCATGAATTACCCATTGTTTACGCTGGGTTGGACACCGTCCGACGGGATAAATTTGTTATCGAATCCGTCAACACCAGTCGGATAAATTTGTTATCGAATCCGTCAACACCAGTCGGTTGGACTGGTAGGATCGATGCGATTTTCTGTATAAATTTTGTTACATTTAAAATTATTTTAAATAAAATTACATATTTGAATAAAATAGTGTTTTATAACGTGTTTATCAATTGGTTTAAACATCTGAATTTATAAATTGTTTAGATATTTCAGCAACACCTTTTATTAAAATTTATTGCAGAAAGTATTGTATACATATTATATATATAAATATATAGATTAAAATGTTTATAAATTAGAATATGAACAAACCACAAATAATTTAATAAAAGATCGTTTTCATGACCTTACGATTTGAAAAGCTTATATTTACTGTATATTTACTGTACATTATAATAAAATATTATTTTATTCTCATATATATATTAAGAAAATTATATATAAATAAATCGTTACATATGTTGTCACAAGTATTGTTAATATAATTATCTGAAGTTTGGACTACATCACATTTACGTAACAAAGTATTTTTAATATTAAAATTTATATTTAGATTCAATTGGTTTGTTCAAACTGATACATAACTTAGTCACTTGGAACAAATTAAGTAGTGTCAATTTTTTTTACTATTTTAAATATCACCTAAAAATAATTCAATCAATCTGGACAGTACCCTAATTCAATCACCCGAGTGATCCAAATAAATTTCCTTATTTTCTTTAAATATATTTATTTTATGAAATAAAAATATTTTATGATTCATATAATAAATGTCTGCATCAAATTATAGTACATTAAGATTATAAATTATATCTAAAGGTGAATTACTTATTTTTACTTTATGCTTATTAATAAAAAATACAAATAGTATTTTAAAAAAATTAAGACTAATTGATTGATTATGCAACTTAAAAAATATGTTTAGCGTTCAATATATATATTTTTTTAAGACACAAATATTGTTGGATATATGAGGATCTCATTATGTACAACAGTACAAGTTAAAAATTCAATAACCTATGCGCAACGGATCTAAAAGTTTGATGTAGAAAACTTACGGCTTAAAACTTCCGAATCTGACGGATTCGGGTTGACCGGGATGAGCACACGAACATGAGCTGGATCACACGAACGGAAGCCTGGGTCGTGTCGTGTCGCGCGATCGGGTCGTGTGGGTGGTCGGGTCGCGTCGCCGGGCTGGTCGCGGAACTCCGGGCTAGTCGCGGCGGGGCTCGGCCTGGTTGCGGCGATCGTCCGACGTGGCTGGGGTCGGCGATCCTCGACCTAGGTCATGGTTCGTCGGCTCGATAGATGATCACGATGTCTCAGTTAACTTCGGGTTCTTTCATTGTATTACTCACACACCTCTTAAACTTGCATTAGTGGAGTGACAAGAAGAAGATATAGTTCGAACAGAAACTTAGAGAGGGAGAGAGAGAGAGAGAGAGAGAGAGAGAGAGAGAGAGAGAGAGAGAGAGAGAGATGGGACGTGCGTGTATTATAAAATATCACATAGGAGAATTCTGATATCTTTTTCTGCAGTAGGGACTTGGCCTTGTGTTTGTGGGAAATGCTAAAGCCCCATCATAGAATCATTCCGTCGAGGTGTGTAACCGTTAGATCATCATGTAACCGATGATCTAACGGTTACAAACCCCGACGAAATAGTTCTGTAACGGGACTTTAGCATTTGTCACAAATAGACATAGCCACGGGCCGAAACCGGACTCTTAAGGGCCGATTCGTTGAACCGGGACCCGTAGGGCCGCGGTTCGGTCCCGGTTCCTTGTTCTTTTTTTGGACCCGCCGGTCCGGTCCGGGCCGGGTCGGACGGCGGGTCACCATGTTAAAGTTTTTATTTTCCAGGGTCGTACCGGCCCGTGAACCAACGGGGGATCGGGCCAGTACTGTGAACCGACCCTTGGTTTTTAGGCGGGCCGGTCGCGGGCCATGTGTTGGAGGGCCCGTGGCCCGCCGGGCCGGGCCGGGCCGGGCCCCGGCACCTGGCCACCTCTAGTCACAAACACATGGCCAAGTCCAAGCCGGGATAAAATTATGGTAATGATTATTTGGATTAAATCCTATTATATCGTTTCCTTGCAAGTAAAAGAACACTACATGATCATATTGTGCATCTTCTTCTTGCATTACATATCCAAAATCATAGATTGAATAATATGTCGACAGAAGTCTCTGTCTCCTTCTCCCTACACAGCCAGCTCCACCATCATCGCCGCCACCACCCCTCCGCCGCAGACCACCGTCCATGTTACTCTTTCCTCAAATTCCCCAAGACACGTAACAACCTCTCCCTCTCATCTCCTCACTTTCCGTTCCCATCATCGTTCCCACTTCAGGCTGACCGTTTTCTAACCAACTCATCATCGCTTCAGAACCTACTTCAGACAGAGCGTTTTCTAACCAAGGACGAGCTCGTAAACCTCGATTTCCTCTCTAATTACAGCTACCATCAGCAATTAGAATCTGGGTTCTTGTGGGTCCGCGTGATGCGGGATGAGGAACTGGACATGACCGTAACCTTGCTGTCCGAGTCCTTTGCCGAGTCGATGATGATGGCGACTTCTGGTTATCAGAAATTGCTCGAGTTCTTGGTGAAAAATTACCTCCTCGAGAGGAGGAGGATGATGCCTCACAATGCGACGCTTTTAGGGATTTACAGGGAAAATGGGGAAGAGGATTTCGAGCTTGCGGGGACTGTGGAGTTGACTTTTGACCGAAAGGGGGCCAATGTGAATCCTCCAACGCCTAAGCCGCCCAAGGATTCGCCGTACATATGTAACATGGCTGTGAGAAAGCCGTTTAGGAGGTACAGTATACTTTCAGTTCTTCTATTAGTTTAAATTTGTCGATTGATATATGTTTTTTGAGAGATTTGGTTTGGAAGAGTGATCTTAGATTAGGCTGGGAAAAAAACAAAAAAACTCATATTTTAGTTTGGAAAAATGTGGTTTTCTGCTTCTAATTTCTGGTTTGGATTTAATCGGAATTGAAATACAGGCGAAGGCTGAAGGGTGCTTTAGCTTTCTATGCGGGTTTATAGTTTGGGTTTTATACTCTGATAGAACCTCTTATCTTCTCTGCCAATAAGTCTTTGTTGTTTCAGCTTCCATTTGGGAAGAATCGACAGTCGAATTTATCCAACGCTTCCAACTTTTGATCGCCAACTTCTTCCATTTACAGTGCAGTAAAGCTTTTCTTTGAAAAGAAGTTTTTGCTAACACTCCTTGCTAATGTCGGGTGATGCGTTATTGTGTGGGAAACTGAAATTTTTGAGCATGACTTGTATGCAGACTCTGTGAAATGTATATTCTTCTATGAAAGTTTTTACGATCTTTTGGTTTTGGATATTGATCAGTTTTTTAGTCGTAACAAGGCGAGGTTCTTTGTTAAGATTTAAAGAGCGATTTATCCTTTGGGTGCTGTAATTAGTTGTTCATATTTTGGAGACTTGTAGTACTAGAGATAGAGCTAAGATTGATTCATATTTCCTATAAGCGTCCATGTTTACATGCATAAAGGTGAAGCTTGTCAGCTCATCTTGAACCTTTTCTTGTATCAAGTGCTGTAAATGTCCATGATATGCGTTGTTAAAAGCAACAAACTGTATTTTGAATTTCTGGAATGTGTTTTATCTTGATGCAAGTCTAGCCTTTACATCGGAAGCATACTTGTCTCCAGAAAACCATCTTTTGATCACTAAAATCTTCATTATCCAAACCCTCATACATGGCTTAATGTCTTCCAGGAGAGGCATTGGCTGGCACCTGCTGAAAGCCAGTGAGGAGCTTATTACGAAAATGGGTTCCTTGAGAGAGGTCTATCTGCACTGCAGGATGATTGATGAAGGCCCTTTCACCATGTACACAAAAGCTGGATTTAGCATTGTTGAGACAGACAGCATCTTGACATGGCTAACATTGCAGAGGCGTAGACACTTGATGCGCAAAGAACTTCCCGTCTCTGATTTTGCTTCTGAAATTGAATTTCCCATTGCAAATTCGACAGATGTGTAGAAATGACATTCCGAGGTAAAAGTAGGTTGAGACTGTGTCTTAAATGTACCTAATGCAGCTTCTTGTTTAATAGTGCAAGTATTTGCTGCGTGTTGTTGTACACTATATCCGACCGGAGTTATAAAATATATACCTTTGTTTGGAGAAGTTCCTTTGAAGGATGGTGGTCATCTGTGAAAACAGGTTTTGTTTTAATTTCCACATTTTATGGTGTTTCTCTAGATATGTGAATTATGCTGATCAATCATGAATGAGATCTCATGTTCCAGTGTGTTGGGCTTGAAGCTAACTGCTAATCAAGTTATCTTTATATACATCTTATATTTGTCTTGAATATTTACAGTGTTATCCTCGTCTTACTGATGCTGTTTTTACTCTCTCTCTCTCTCTCTCTCTCTCTCTCTCTCTCTCTCTCTCTCTCTCTAACATCTTATATTATCTATCAACTTGTTTTTCTATCTTTTAACATTCTAAGGCCTTTCTTTACTCTTTATAAGGCTCAATGTAATTGAGTTTGACCTTTCAACTGCATTGCTTGACCTACTTATAAAGTTATAATTTCTGAAACTATCTTTGTACATTTATAATCAATTAAGATGTTACACAAATACTAAAAGTTACATACTCCTATACACATATGTGTTTCTTTATGTGTACTAATTCCATTTGTGCGTTTGAACATTACGTGCTGAGAGTATGATGGGATCTCAGAGTATTTCTTACTCAAATTATTACTCTTTTTTCTTCAAACGCTTTTACATTACTGAGAAAACTAAGCCATCTTGAACCTCCATTAGTCTCTACTAACACATCAACATCTCTGATGTGTCTGAGATTCTTAACAAACATCAATAACTTTCATACTAAAAATACTGAACCCCTTTGGTTTCACATCATCCTGAGTGCATGCATTGTCATTCCCAGTCCTTTAGAATTGATGTACATTATTATCTGAAGTTCTTTCACGCATTCCATCATGGAAGGCCTCTCTTGACTGTCAACTCGTACACATCGTGAAGCTAGGTTTGCAAACATGGCTATCGACTCCATTGTATATGAGCCCCGTCCTATTTCAGGATCAATCACCCTTTTCAGTTTCTTCTTGTCATTGAGTATATTCCTGACCTGCGCAGTTTTCATATACATCCCCTTTCATATTGTTGGTAAAAATAATAGTATTGTCTACAAAATTACAAAGTTTTCGCCCACGGTGCTTATTCTTGAACAAACTCCAAATTATCTTTGGACAAAACAAAGGTTAATTGCAAAAACTGCTCCTGGGTTCTGAGTACTTACAAAAAGACCCCAATAACTTTTGAAATTGCAGAATCACGCATGAAGTTATGTTACAATCTGACTTGCTATATTCGTCGGTTCTCCTGACGAAATTTGCTGATATTATCATATATTTTACAATTACACTTCTCAACGTATCAAGATACTAGAAATAGCCGCAACTATTTTGTCTAGCTATTTGTAAATGTAAGATGAAAAGCCAGGTTCATTTGTAATACTCAGAACAGTTGAGGGAAATAATTGTAGATATATTGTATGACATCAGCAATTTAGGGTATCTAAATTAACATATGTTGCAAGATATTCGACGGATGTTACAAGCTCGAGGGTGGTTTTGTAGTTTTCCAACAATAGCTACCAATCCTCAAGGTTAGTTTTTTGTACTTATCCTTTTTAGGCTGATTTTCTAGGAGAGTAATGTGTTGGGAAGTACCTGGACTACTAAGTTTTGATCGTTTGGTCCTTGGTTCAGGTCGACTGCTTGTTTTCCTGTCAAAAGCTCGAGTAGAACAACTCCAAATGCATAGACGTCACTTTGGAGAGTGAGTTTTCCTGTCTGTTAATGCCAAGGTAGACATGTCCATTGCTCAGTACTCAGTAGTCCCTCTTGCCATTTCATAAATGATAAATTAAAACACAGGTATCACTTCTCTTAATTTAAAACCGCTTTCATGAGAAAAAAATAGCAAAAAAGAAGAAAAAGGAAGACTCGCTATTCCATATATATGTGTGTCAAGACCCAGGTATTTAATGTGACTTATCTAGGCATCAATGCTAGTAGCATTGTGAATATGTTGATCATGTGCTCTTTAGTTGGGTTGATGTAAATTAGCTTGATTTTCTAATTCTTAGTTAATTTAGCCGCAAGTTATTTTCTTTTCTGTCCTGTTCTTACCTGCTCCAGAGATATCAAGGAAAACAAAATTAGATAAACGTACTTGCTCGTTGTTGTATTATAAGTGGTCTTTTAATCATAGAATGGGCCTTACCAATGTATATTCAGGATCAAAATAGCCAAAAGTTCCAAGTACAGTAGCCGTCATGCAAGTCTCCTGGCCTTCTGGCATTAACTTCGCTAGCCCGAAATCTGATATCTGCTAGTAGAAATTCTTTTGATAAGTTCTGGTATGATTATTAGTTCAGCTCTCGTAGGAAGTATATATATTTGTAATGAGGAATACTTCTTCATACACACACCTCAACGAGGTATTTTTACTTTTTTTTTGGAAGAAAAATATTTTTTTAACTGTGGTGAATCCTAGGGGTATTCTTGTATCCAATAACTCTGACCTTTGCTTCATAGTTTTCATCAAGAAGTATATTGGTGGATTTGAAGTCTCTATGAACAATAGGAATCCCAACATCAGAACCCGAGTGGAGGTACGCAAGTCCCCTTGCTGCCCCAATAGCTACTTTGAGCCTCAAAGGCCAATCCATCTTTACTTCTCGAATTCCTAAAATTTAACCAGCATACTATTAGAGGAGCCCGACTGCAAAATATGAAAAAAAAAATGACCAAAACATAATATGTTTAATAGCCAAACCGTTCAAGTGATCTTGCAGGTTCCCTTTGTGCAGATACTCGTATACCAGAAATCTGTGCTTCCCATCTGCACAATATCCAATTAAGTTTACGAGATTCAGATGATCTAATCTGCTCAAAATATCGACCTCCACGCGAAACTCTCTCTCCCCTTCTGCTTTCCTGAATGGTGGTAGCTCCATTTTCTTGATCGCCACAACCTGTAAAATCCAACTTTTGAACGGTTTTATAATTTTGTTGAGAAAACAAGTAGAGGAAAATTGCAGGTAAGGCAGTGTTTATGAGGTATGACAAAATGCATGTTAAAGTTAAGATCATACCTCACCAGACTTTAGAGTGCCTTTATATACTCGACCAAATCCTCCTTTTCCGAGCAGATTTTCGTCACTAAAAGAACACGTAGCCTCATCCATCTCTTTGAGTGTAAACACTGCTGATGCATTCCGCCTTTTTGCCGGTGGTTGTTTGTATTCTATCTGCCAGTGTTCCACAGGCTTGTATGTCCCTGAAAAATCATAGTATACATAGAAAGTTTTTTTTCAGCAAGAAAACTTCGGTTGTAAAGTTGCAAATCTCAAATTAACAAATTGAAATAAGAAAAAAAAAAAAATAAAGAATACAAGGATTGATCTGTTCTTCGGACTTGCTTCTTCTATGTTTGTTCCAGGCAGAGACTAATCCGAAAGGCATTATTCTTGGTCTTCTCAAATTAACGTAATACAAAATATTGATCTCTAAACATCTCATGCAAGAACTCACTCTTTAACAATTAGAAAGAAAATTACGCAATCCTCTTCTTTTCTATGTAAACAAACAACTGCTGCAATAATCTGTATTAATATAGCTAGACTCGTGTTTATTTCGTTTGTAGAAAAACCGGGAATTAGATTATATTTTAAAGTAGTATGAGAATCCTGATATGAGTACAGGTAAAGCAAATGAAGAAGTTAGCTTTGTGGATACTTAGTTCCAACAACAACCAGGACTTCTCACTTGAAGTTAAAGAAAAAGCTACACAAGATAGAAAAAATGGTATATTACTTGCTTACCTTTAAGTACTGGCATTTTATTGTGGGGTATATTGTGGTTTTGTGTGTGTGTGTGTGTGTGTGTGTGTGTGTGTGTGTTATTTTGACAAGGAAAGATAAACTGCCTGTGCTTGTTGCATAATTTTTCCCTTTGTTGAAATGTTATAAGAATATGGTTGAGGGGTGGTTTTCATTCATTAGTTTTACATCATATAATGGTTTTTGAGAGGAACTTCTTGTGTTGGTTGGAAGTTGCTTTTGTGCTTTTGGTACGTCTGTAAATTAATATTTGCGTCCATAAATTTGTGTGTTGTGTTTTGAGTGATGGTTATGTGATGATGGCCTTCTAAATATTTTTGGTGTCATTCTTGTTTTTCAACTAAAAAAAAAGAATCATGTTCTCTTTGAAATTAGTGTTGCAATGTCAACGACTGGTCCCGTTACGGAATCATACCGTCGGGGTTTGTAACCGTTAGATCATCATGTAACCCACCGTCGATGATAGTTGATCTAATGGTTATAAACCCCGACGGAAGGGTTCCGTAATGGAATCGTACTATCTCCTCTCTATTAATATTCGAAAATACTTCCGTAATAACAATGTACTAGTTACAAGCAACTGTGTACTGCGACAAAATAGATGTACATTTTTTTTTTTTTTTTTTTTTTTTTTTTTTTTTTTTTTTTTTTTTTTTTTTTTTACTTCTTTAGTGACTATAATTAATATTGATTGAATTGACACAATGTTTATTGCCAGAGAATTTTCAAGTCGGTTTTTAATGCTATATTTCCCCTTTTTTTTTTTTTTATACCGATTGTTTATTTAGATTAATTAAGTGTGATAATATTTTTTTAAAACTTTCATATAATAAATACTACTAATATTAATTAGTTATATATTCACAGTAACACTTTAGGAAAGTTGCAAAAATATGAAAGATTGCAGCAAAATAATTTCGTTGGTTACTTATTTTAAAATTAATATAATCATTTTATTTTTGTCTCAAGAGCTAATTGATTTTAATAAAATAGTACACCGGAAATGTACTTATTAATTATTTTTCCAACTAAGTAATTGATTATGATATTGGAGTTTGTAAAATAATTCATAAAATATGGTATGCATATTATCCAACTTTAAAGTTACAAAGGTTACTTATATACTATTTTATTTGTATTTGTATATAGACATAGATTTGAATTCTACTTGCACTGTAGTGTATCGTGATTTAACGAATTGAAATATATATATAGCCCAACATTAGATTTTGAAAGAGTGAGAAAGAGATAAAAGATGGTTATCGTGTTTGGCCTTCACAGAATCCACCGATTTCTAGTTGCGGATCAACCATACACTCTCAACCACGGGGTCCTCTTGCCAGCAGAGAATTCTTGGCGTGTATAAAAAAATAATTAAATACACAATAATCACATCTAATCGGCCTTTATCAACTTTTATCATTTCCGACATTGTTTTTCTCCAATGAACATTTAAAAAATAAAGGCTCTTAAACATATTTTTTTGGGAAAATATAATAAACATGATATGAAATAATTTATCTTTAATTTTGTAATGGAAGAGTAATTTTTTTTTTTTTATAGGTGAGGCTATACTAGAAGTCTGTGAGCGCCTAAATCTTATTCAGTGTCATCCTACCGTCGTTTTTTATTTTAGCTATTTTCATACAATTGTTTGAACATTCTTAAATTTTTGGAACAAATAATGTAGAAAAATTCTTACATTATGGAATTGTCCCTAAACAATTTCTGGAATGTAAGAAAATTCTAAAATTTTAGAGCAAAAATAGAAATGATTTATGGAACAAATTATTGTCTTAGAAGGCATTTCTTGAATGAAATAACATTCCAGAAACCATTTCTAGAACAAAAGAAAATATTATTCATAAAATTGACCAATGGTGTAACAAACATTTGACTTGAAATCAATACACAATTCATTATAGAGTGATTGTTATAGATCTGATCTAGTCCGACATTTACACCCATAAAGGAGTAGATACAGACTTGTGTTGGGTTGATCAGATATACATGAAACTGGTAGTGGAGCCAATATTAAGATTCATTGCTCGAATATAGTTTCGAAAGAACACTCGTTTTTTATATACTGGGTTGATAAACTTTAGCCAATGCACATGGTTATATTTAAAATGGTGTCCGAATATTATTTGTTAAAGTCGACCAAAGAGATTAGATAAAATAATTAAGTTGTTTGGATAGAAACACGTTCAAATCCTAAGTTTAATCGAGTGGTTCGTGAATGAAATGATTGTATCACCATTGAGTTCTACACTAAAGGTTTGTTTTGCTTTGTCCCTGTAAACGTACTTCATATTTTGAGTTCGTCCTTCGACAGAGTCTAGAAGTTCCATAAGGATCATAAATTAGATTTATGTCAATACATGAAAGCCTATATATGCAATCAATTTTTCGACTAAAAGTGAATCACGAGTGTTAAATATTCAATTAGATTGAAATATTTATTTATGAGTAATGAGATTATATTTTACTTAATAAATAATACTTAATTAAGATAAATTGAATTTACATTTAATTAAATTATTATTGTATTATGTCCAATTACCAATTGAGCCATACGATCTCCTACGACCCATATAATTAAATTTACCCTAATTATAAATATCTCATCTCTTTGGTGTGAGAAACATTTTGAGAGATCACAAAATCTTAGAGATTGGAAGATCAAGATCGAAAGACAAACACTCTCCGACTTTCTGGATTGAGGATTCCTAGCTGCTTCACCGAGCATTAGATCGTGTACCGGAAAACTAGATTGCATGGATACCATAGTCGAGCGCAAAGCTTACGAACAACTATAACTTTTCATTCATCATTCACGTGACTTAGGGTTTTACCAAATAGCTATAGTCGGATCGTCGTCGTTGGTAAAAAAAATTAAAATTCTGCTGCGCGTACGCTAGGTTCGCACGTTTAAAATCCAACAGTTTCACATGGCCTTGTCCAATAGTGCACTTTTCATTGTCCTGGTCCAATTTATTCATTTCACATGACCTTGTCAAGAAAGAATCCAATGGATAGATGAACCATTTGTTATTGTCCAAAAATAATGCAAAAAAATATTTCTTCACATTGTCTTGTCCGAAAATAGTATACTTTCCATTTTAATGGTCAAATTTATTCACTTCATGTAGCCTTTTTTGAAAAAAATCCAAGGAAAAAATATCTATTTCCTTTATTTGTTCATTCACCTATACAAACATGAAGCTATACATCATACCATCCAAGCTACAAATAACCTTCATTGACAAATAATTCTCCAGTATTTTCCTTTAATATCATTTACAATGAGTTATCTTTTTTCATATATTATGATTATAACGAGGAAGATGCAATGCTTCACTGCCTCTTGTTTATAACACTATGGAAACATTCAATGTTCATATTATGCAAACCAACAATTTTGTTTTATGGCACACGCTATCTTTGTGCAAAGTAGCCAATCGACGTGGGGATGTTCTGTTCTAGGCCATGGAATAGTCCATCTTTATCGGGAGGTCTATTCCATCTTTATCGGGAGGAGACCTATCACACTCTGTTCAGAGATTATTTTTGTAGTAATCCAACCTACGATGCATATACATTTCGTTGACGAGTTTCAATGCCTATTCACAATTTCAGCGTGTTATACAAGAGTTGGAAAATCATGGTAGTTTTTACAATAACGTAGAGATAGTCTTGGTTGGCTTAGATTGTCCACATATACAAAAGGGACGACGACGCTTTGTCGGTTGGCCTATAAAATCCCTGCAAATAGTGTTGATGGATATCATTGTCGAGTCAACAATAAATGAATGCGTAAGAAAATTTTGTCGCGGAGTCATTGAAGTTTTTGGAGAACAATATATGAGATCACCAAATAATGATGATACCGCTAGCTTGCTTCATATTGGTGAATAACGTGGTTTTTTAGGTATGTTAGGTAGCTTTGACTAGCTTGGACTGCAGGCACTGTGAATGAGAGAATTGCCCTAGGGCATAAGCTGGTTAATATTCTAGACGTTTTGGAAAACCTACAATCATTTTGAAAGTTATGGCTATGATCTCGGGATATGGCACACATATTTTGGTATATCAAGTGCCAATAATGATATTAATTTGTCGGAAGCATCACCTCTAATGTCAAATCTTGCTGAAGGTATCACTCCACCAACTAATTGTACCATTCAAGGTTAACAATTTAATATGGATTGTTATTTAGCAGATAGTATATATCCGAAATGGTCCACTATTGTTTAATCTTTTGTTGCACCATCGAATCTAATAGAGGAACTCCTTAAAATGAGGTAAGAGGCATGTAGAAATGATGTTCAGTGTGCATTTGGAATTCTGCAAAAATATGTTTGCAACCTGTTCGTTTCTAGAAGAAATAGGTGCTTAGTGATATAATAAAAACATGTATTATTTCTCCCAATATGATTGTCGAAGATCAATGTGATCTTAGTGCACCAAATAGGAATGATGTTCAATTTGGTGCTTCAACGGTTACTCCAGCACCGCGAGATCACGCCTTTTTTCAACAATTTCTTATTCAACACAAAAGAATCAAAGACAAGACTGCCCACTTTGAACTTCGCAATGCATTAGCGGCATAAATGTTCACTA